GTCGTGGAACAGGGCTTTTATTGTTTCTCTTGTTGTTTATTGATCTGACTGACAAGTAGATAAGCAAATTCATGCTGACTCAAGCTTCTGTCTTGTACTCCTTTCCCACATCCTGTATTCCTCGCTGTTGTATCCTAGTGCTGAACTGTTATCTTGGAAAAAATACCAAAGCTTAAATAGTCCTTCAGCCAAGTCCTATGCGGTATTTTTTGACACTTTCCAAGCCTTTGCCTATTTGCTGAATTCCAAATACCTAGACTACAGCACTGCTTTGTTTGCTATTTCTAATAGAAATAGGGTTTGCCAACCCTAGGCATTAAGTCAAAGCCATCTGGATAATGCTCAGCTCTGCACAATTTTCCTGCTTTGGTCTTTGCCTGCCTGCATGTTCCCCCTGCGCATCATAGACAAATTTCACTGAGCTCTCTAGATTTTTTTTCTTTTTTACTTTTTAGAAGGGGGAAATGTTCAGCTTGATGGTTTTTTATCAGCAGTCTGACTTGGTGCAGTTCAGAAACAAGTTGACCAAAGAATAATTTGGCTAATCATATCACATCCTTTGTTATGTAATATATCAAACAAAGTCATGTCACTTGTCACTGTCATCACTTTAGAATTAGCTTTATTACCTTCTTGTCACTGCTAATCCAGCACCTGTCTTCATCTTTAACTTTCTGCCTTACTGTGTCCCATATTGCTAGCATGAGATGCACTTAGAACAAAGAGTCGCCTACTCCATGACTAAGGATATTTCTGCAGCAATATGAGTTGGATGATTGGTTTACTTCATAACAGGATGATCGCTTTGGCAGTGGAACTAATTCCCTAGAAAGGTGGTGGATATGCTCAAAGTGATTTTGCTCAATGTACTGTAGTGGAGCTTGGATAGCCTTCTGTTGCGGGTGATTTAATTTGGATTCCTACACTGAGCAGGGTGTGGATTTGATGGTCTAAATAACTTTTTCCAACTCTATGAATGTATTAAATTGTTGGACAAATGGGCTACAGGATATGGTAATGAAGATTCATAGCTATCTGCTACTGTGCAAAGTCATACTGATTCTTTGCCATTTCCAAAAAAGCCCAGTATATAGCCATAATATGCTATATGACATTCTCAATGTTCTAAAAAAGTTATGGCCCATTAGTGATCTTGAATGGGTATTTTTAAAATATTTTTAATCACATGCATTATCTTCAGCTCATATTCCCAGTGGAGCTCTACACAGAAGGCTCCTTTGACAATAAAACTTAGAGCAGGTAGTGAATTCTGCAGTGACTTCAGAAGTGTTTTAAAGGGATTACAACATTTGAGACAGTGTTTTTCTATGAGCTGAAGTAGTACAAAGTGCAGTGCATTACAACATAATTTGTATTTTGGAAACTCTCAGTGTGTTAACATTACATTTAACGCTTTCTTTACTTAATTTGCTTTCTACTCATGTTCTATCCATGTTCTGCATTAACTCATCAGTTGGTGGTAAGTTTGTGCTTTTTATGCATATTCAACAACATTCTTTAATTCAATTTCTCTGTTTCTTCTCATGCAGTCTGACAGCCAGATATACAACTCAGTCTAATCACAGTGGAATTGCAACCAGTCAAAAAAAGCCTTCTAGGTCAGTTAACATCTCTAATTTATTGCTTGCTAGTGATGCTTAATAGAGTCACTGCCCACTGGCATTTTTATTCTGTGAGCCATAATAGACATTGAAGTCTTTCATTATTATATTTCAGATGTAGGCTTTAGAGGATGTTCTGTTGGCTAGTGGAAAACTGGCCATGACTACAGAAAAAAATCTGCAGTAGGATAGTAGTAGAGATATCCTTATGCTGCAACTTAGCAAAGTAATATAAGTATTTCAAATGAGCTGTTCAGCTTCTATAGCAATTGATACTCAAAAGCTCTGACTTAGATTTAAATTTAAGGTGAAATTTGTTTAACTCAGTCACCTTGGCCTTCCCTAACCTTATGCTCTTCAGAAGTGTTGAATCACTACATTATGAGCCTAGCCGGGAATAATAGAAATTTAGAATCGAACCAATTTTTCAGATAGAGAATAGGCTCCTTTCATTGAAGGTATTCAAGTGAAAGCTACATAGTCATGTGTCTGAGATGCTTTAATTTGATTTCATGTACCAAACAGGGCTTGGATTTTGTGTCCTAATTGGGTTTTTCCAAGTCTAGGAGTATACAATTTTAAGTTGTACTCTAACACCTCTGGAGGGCAACCAGTTGGGAAAGACTGAATTGCAGACATAATTCAGAAAAGGCTTAAGACGTTTTCTTTAACTGTGCTGCAGAACCTTGTTTGCAACTGACAATTGCTTGCTAGTCTCATTTCTAGTCTTGTCTGTCCTGTCAACAATTGCTGGGTTTCCACATTGCACTAATCCATATAATTATTTTTCTTTTACCTTGGTATGTTGAACAAACCATATGTGTCCAATTTTGCACCTATTACCAAGCCATAATAATAGGTTCATACATTATACTGAGTAAAAATAAATTTGGTTAATTGAGTGGTAGAGTTTTCATCCAACTCAACAAAATCATCATCTTCATTTATTGTCCTATCTTGAAAGAGGAAAAACTGCATTGTGTATTAGTGCTTATTCTGGAACAGCACAATTGTGTATTTCAAAAAGAAAAGAAGAAACAGGCCCTGTGAATAATAAAGTAGCTTAATTGTGGGCTTGGGTATGGGAGTGCACAGCTATCTTCTAATTTGTTTTCCATTATCGTTTTTCACATAACAGAAGATCTGTTAGAAAAGACTCTAGCTTTGCAGTAAAGCACCCATTTTACAAGTATAACCAGGCTGAGGTTCTGAAGTGTCTAAGCTGGGATAGGAAATATTCTTGTCTGACCCAAAGAATCCCTGTCAATCTGTGTAGATCAACTATCTATGTTGTATATGAACAGTGTACTGGAATAGGACAGTTTGTGCTTTTCCAGTATATATAAAATGTACTTAAAAAAGCTTTTTATGAAAGGAAGTATTTGGGGGCAAGTATAATTTCTGTGAAACCGTCTGAAAACAGAACATACCTTGACTGCAAATGTTACAGCTCTAAGCAGCCTGACTGTTGATGGATAATCCTGTCTCTGTGCCATGATTTGTGGCTTTCTCACTTAGAATTATTACCTGCAGTGCATTTATTTCCTAAAGGAAGACACCAGGTTCCTCCTTTTGTGTTCAGTCTATGTTGATTATGTGTATTCTTTTAAAAACAGTTCATTACTGACAGTGAACTATCAGCTGAGTAATCCAGTATTAAGTCATTCTGTCTGAGTTGCTGCGATAACTCGAAACGAGCTAGACCAGAGTGCAGTTGTTCTGCACCTGTGGTCACAGGTTTTCAGTCTCATTTCTTATGGACTCTCTTGTCACATTCACAATTCATTCTGTCTGGAAGTTAACAGTTGTTGTTTGTCCAACAGTATAAATTTATAAGAGTGTTTGTAAAATTTTAATCAAAAGTATGTCCCTTGTAAATTATTGTTACTTCAAACTTTGCATTTCCTTTGTTGCTTAAAATGATTCTGTGGGTGGAATATCTACAAGTGGAATAAATATATACTGTGAAAAATGCCTTTATATTTTATATTTAGGTTACTAGATGTATTATATATTTATATATTTGTTGAAAGTGCTTTAAAATCTATTTTAAAGTATTGAAAAGGCCATTTTCCCTTAGGATTAGGGTTATTAATTCAAGCAATGGATTTTAACATGATTTTAATGTAGTCAGAATATAACTGAATTGGTAGTGAGAGACTAATTGTTTTCATAGGCCATAAAATTACGGTATGTAAAAAAATCCGGAGCTGAAACAACCTGCTCTGCTTGTAGCATAGACAAAAAAGAACAGACTGACCACCAGAACATACCCTTCCAAAAGCTACATACTTCGATATCTAATATTGCAGTTTATCAGCAATCTACATCCCAGTAATCAGAAATGAAATGGAAATATTAGATAAGCAGTTGCAACTCAAGACTGATTTTTTTTTTTTTGGTAATATATAATGTCTGTGTAGAAAAACTGAATGATTTCAAGGTTTTCTGGGAAGGGATATAGCTATGTTAAGAGGAAGGCACTGTGATATATGAAAAATATGCTCTTTTTTATTTGTGCTGTGTTATCTTTCAGTTATTGCTAATCGTGATAGGGGCTTTGTTTTGGTTTTTGGCAACACTGATCTGACTTAAATATCTATCAGTAAAATTCCATCGATGTTGCATAAATTGAAGTTGCCTAAAATTGTTTTATCACTAAACCAGGCCATGAAATAGACAGTAGTATAATGTGAGTTTGTAGACAGTGGCATTTTTATTAATTTTAACTTTACTAACCAGGAAGTTTCAGATGGTGGCAGCAAACACCAACGAGTGGAATATGTAACTGGAACTTTGGTCTTTTAGAATGGATGGATCATTTTAATGCAAGGATTTTTATTTGAAGTCAAAGGCTTCTCAACCACATCAATCACTAATCTTATCGTCAGATATCTACCTATAAACAGGATAAATAACAAAGGGTATTATGGTGCCTTAAAAGTTTACATATTTATTATTTATCAATGCCACAAGTATCTTTGTTGTTTTTGCCATGACGAACATATATTTATTTAAGAAATTGTGTACACAGTTTTTTTTTCAAATAAGCTCTGCACTGAGATTGAGTTTCATTGTACTATCTTAGAAAAAGTTGGGAAAGAAAATATTGAATTGCATATGAAGCATGCAGGGGAATCATTTGGGCACTGTGAATGGAAAATGCAAAGGATCCTTATACGTTTGTTTGTGATCCTATTCAGCATCTATTCTCTGTTTGTGCCTTTTAAGATTGATAACTCATTGGCAGTGTCTAACTAACCTTGGAGCACATGAATGTTTGTTGTTGTTGTTAATCAGGTCTATGGATTTATTTATAAAACCAAGTTATACATGTTTAAAACTGCAATGCATTTATTTCTGACTGTTCTGTTCTAGGCTTCCTGGGCCCTCAAGGGTGCCAGCTGCAGGCAGCAGTACCAAAGTCCAGGGAGCCTCAAATTTAAATCGAAGAAGTCAGAGCTTTAATAGCATTGACAAAAATAAACCTCCACAATATGCAAATGGAAATGAAAAAGGTGAGTGCTTCATAGACATTGTCTTACTGAACCCAGAAATCCAAAGAGGTTCCTCCACTCTTCCTAGCACTGCACTTCAAAGTAGCAATTCCATCCAGCCACCTTGGGCTGTTTCACATATGGTGGCCAGGAAGCTTATTTTTGAAAATGGGACCCAGAATAACCATCAGGTGTTTAAGTAGTATCTCAATTCTGCCTGAAGAAAACTGCACCACGTGGGCACAGAATTTTTCTTCTGATTGTCCTCATACCAACAGCACTGTATATGTGAAAATATTCTTCAGAAGGATACAGTCATGAGTCTTTTAAAGTTGGTTGTTATTTTATTCACATATTCACATATTATTTACTCACATATTAAAGTGAGATATTTAGTAAAGACTTAATGTTTTTTAATTCTAAAAGCAGGTGTGTATAAAATTACATTCAAAACGCTATTCTTGATCTTAACCAAAAGTCAAAAAGTGATACATTCAAGAAAATAAAATGACATCAACAGTTTTCAAAGTCAGCTTCAAGATTTTTGCTTTTGAGATGCAACCTTATCTGAATAAATATAACATGCCTTCTGTTTATGGTTTTGTTGGAAATTGGAAAATTAGAGTCAGATCTTGGTTTGGCTATGAACCTCAATAAGTGCTTCTTGGCTAGTCAATCAAGCAACCTTTCTTGGTGAAAATAATATCCTATTTAAAAATGAGAAATAGATATTATAGTAAATACATATGTACAATTACAAGCAGTGAGCAACAGCAAAACATTAGCTGATGTGCAGTACTGACTTCTACCCCCATCTTGTGATAAAGTCTATATTTTTCACTTTCATACACAGTTAGCTGATAGAATTACATTAATAAAAGTATGTTAATTAAGGTTCTTAATTTTCAAGCTAAAGGTACATAAAATTATAAGCATACAATATTTTTAAAACAACACATATCACACTTACCACAAGGTGGGAGTAGATGTCTTTGAATAACAACAGTATTATATTTGAGAACTCTTCTTTGGATAGAGAATAACATTATTAACATTTCACAACATTTCAGATTTTACTTGGGAGGTGTGCATTTATGCACCAAGTGATATTTAGCTTAGATACTGTTCCCTTGGGATCTTTCTTTAGGAGTAGTAAAGTCCGTTCCTTTCCTTTCCTTTCCTTTCCTTTCCTTTCCTTTCCTTTCCTTTCCTTTCCTTTCCTTTCCTTTCCTTTCCTTTCTTATAGTGGGCTTACATTTATCATTTGCACTATATATTCTTCTTCTCTTTTACTTTTGGTAGGATAAATATTACAGGCTTTATGATTTGGGTCATGATACTGGGTCATAGTACAACTGATAATTAATTGAAGTTATTCATCTTGATAGGGTTTTTAGTATGATTCTCAGTGATTTATTGAGATTGTTTTCTATAATGTACCATGGACATTTTGGATGTTGTCTGTATCTTGTGTACCACTGAGTGGATTTCAGCAAGATATAAATGGAATGAATGAATGAATGAATGAGCAAGAAAAATCCGTTGACTATAGAATGTATTATTTATACGATCACAGTTGTGACAACTTGTTTGTAAAATCTACTTACCTGATTATTAATCTTATTAATACTTCAGAGACAATATATTTGGATTTTAATTGTCAGTTTAATCTGGGGGATTTTAAAAATAACCCAAAGTATCAGTTAATCAGTTCATAGTTAAAAATAAATCAGAACAACCCAAGGCTCAGAGCAAAGTTAATTTGCATGATTGTCCATAATTTGTTCTTTATTTGTTTTTTGGTCTTTAAGAAAAACTATAAAATAATTATATTATCAGAATGTTTTGTGAGTTATTATTTATAATGTATATCATTTGTGCTGAGTGCAGCTTAATCTTACAGCAACAGTTTCTTTTAAAATAAGTATTAATGTTTGGAAAAATCAGTCTCATAATAGCAAGTCCATCCTATATTGCAGAGATAGATTTGCAGTAGTTTGCCAAACCCTTTGCAAGAGGGAAAGACTAGCTCTACTGTGAAATTCAATTACAGCAAGAAATCAGAGAAATCTTTTGGTGTGTTTCATCAGCAAATCTACAGTTGTTGACCTTTGAGGGAAAAAGCAACAACAACCAGACTGTTCTGAAATCAACCAGAGGCTTGATTTGGAACTTTACAGGATTTTCAAGTTTGAACTAGGAAGCCCTGTTCCTGAAACTGGAACTAATTTTCATAAAATACAAATAATGGTTATGTGACTAATGACACATTACTCTCTGCTTCTATCATGTGAAAACCATTATATATTCCTTCACAATGAAAGATTTTATCTGGACCTTCAGGCTTGCTTTCCTATTTGTTCAAACAGTTTGGCGAAGTGTCAACTAGAAACACAGGGTCTAAATACACAGTGCTTAAACAAATATAACTGGTGATTTCTTAGGGCTTAATCATTATTAGCATGTCATTTTTTCTAATTCCACATGATATATTAATTCACAAGTAGCAAGTTTAGTTACATTAAGAAATATGGGGCTAATTTGAAAAGGCTCATTTACATGTCCATGTAATTTTTAATGTGGCTTGGTGTATTCTTCAAAATAGAGTTGGTGTGTTTGGAATATGTGTAAATATGATTGAACTATGCACTTCAATGATTAGGATGAAGTATTTGTTAAAGTTAGAATTAGGCTCAAAGAACTGTTTTTCTCTGTGGAATTTAAAATTTTATTGATGTAATAATCTACTTTCTCCTAAGGATGAAAATGCACATTGTATTAAATTTGTATATTGCCCCCCACCATAATTTTTCTACTTTGAAGAAAAAAATCAGAACTGTGGTAGCGTGGTAGTAGTGTCTAAGCCTTTATATCATATGTGGGCAACCTTTGACAGTTGAGCCTCCTTTTATGCAGTCTCTTCTCTGTTGCTGAAAATCAGTAGCATAGTTCACTCAGGAGATGCACAAGAACCCTGACATAACATTACGGTGGTTTAAAAAAGAAGCTTGCCCTTCTCCTTGCCCCATCTAGAAGCAAAGCTGACAATTCCATCACATCCATGTTTATGACATGGTACATTCACTTTGCATCTCAAAATGTCAAAAATGGACCTTGGACATGTAAATATGTATTTATAAACATTTATAAAATTCATTTATACCGTAGGATATATATTTTGAAACTTCCCCCTTTCTGAGGGGATTACTTGCTTGGGAAGAGAAACTACAATTGATTTTGGGTATAGCCTCTTTCAAAGCTGTGAACCAAAAATATGCTTTAGAGGTGATGGGGTTAGGTAAAGGTAAAAAAAAAAAAAAAAGTTTAACTATTGGTGCTATTTAAAAGTAGTAAAGTAATATACAAGCAGTCCTCATTTAGCAACCACACTTGGGACCAGCAACTCAGTTGTTAAGCAAAGCAAGCACTAAGTGAAACCATGACTGTGCTTATTATCTTACTACAGCTTTCCTTTCCTTTACAGACCTGCGAAGGTCATAAATGGAAGGACTGGTATCAAAGTTACTTTTTCATCACTGTCGTAACTGTGGATGGTCACTGTATGAGGCAGTCACTAAACAAGGACTACCTGTAAAAGCCCAAATGATGTATTTCATATAATGTGTTGCCCAGGCTTCAATTAGGCCACTAACTCATTACATTTGATGTGGTAAATTCTAATCTTTACTTAGGAACATAGTTCTTGGACAGTCATTTGCCATTCTTGGTTAGAAATTGCAATAACTGAATCCCCACCTATCTGGAGAATGTCAAATTGGAAAAGGCTGCCTGATAGAGCTTCCAAGATCTCGGCTTCTGGTTCAGATGGTGTGAATTGAAATTAAAACTTTCTGAATATAATCATGGGCTTTTCTATTCTGATCTAAGTCACTGGCACAAACCCTTGCACTGAATACTTGCAACACTTTCCTGGCAAATGATGACCATGGGCCACCAAAGCTGAGTGTGTGGAGATGTAGTACAAATAAGATTCCATGTAAGACCATAACTTCCATCACTCCCTATTCCAAACAAACATTAACTTCACTTTTGATTTTACATGTCAAATGTACATGTTACATATTCATGAGCATTATGTTTCCACAACTGAGGAAGGAATTGGGTCAGCAAAGATCACAGAAGTGTTCTCCTAAGTGAGGAAAAGCGTGGGTATTGAGGTACCATGCACTAGTCAGCTTATTTGTTACCACTGGAGTCTCTGAGTCCACATGTAGCTGTTTTTTAACATATCAGTTCATATTTCTGATCTGCCTTACTGCTTTGCATCACTTCAAGGTGTAAGAGATGATAGAGTCCTGGAATCAGAAGGCTAAGGATTTAATTATGTAATCTAGCTCAGTATGTTTTAGTGGGCCTCAGCAGCCAGCCAGCAACACCAAGGTGACTTGGATAGTCAGCAAGGAAGAAATCTTATGCATAATCAATAAATTATAAATACATGAACTTGGTCTTCTGATTTTGCTCAACAGAGAAGACTTTCTAAGCTGTAATTTCTTAGGTTCCCAGCTCTTGCATTCCGATTCTTTTTTCTCTTAGACATTATTCTGGGCAACACCAGCATCACAGCTTGTTTTCCCCCATCCTCACTTCATCTTGCCTTAGATCTCTTTCTGGCTAAGACCACAAATGACATCGATGTTTCCATGTAATGTTAAATACGTTCACCTTCAAATTTACAGTAAATATTAGTAGTAAAAAAGAAATATGTGAGTGAAGTTAAATAGACCTATCCTTTTTGTAGCTTGGGATCTGTGAAAATTCTGATGTATTTTTTTCTCTCATTCAATTTAATTGCTGCCTTTCTTATTAATATACTTTGCCAATTTTTAAATCATTTCTGAGATTCGATCCTCTCTAATTAATCTGTAGGGCAGGCAATTGTTTTTATTGTTTATTTATTACTATAAATATACATAGGAAAAACGGGAAAAATACAAAATAGAGAACAATATATATAAAAAATAACAAAATGCATGAAAACTGTAAAATAAACACACCCCATACCCCTCAAACTACATATGTTGACTATATAATGACTTGGTTTTTAAGCAACAAATGAAACCATGTTCATACAGTATCATATTGGTCAATCTTTACATTTTGTTGATAAAGAGCAAATTCAAAGTCTGAAATTGAGCACATTGTTTTCAAAAGCCTTTCTTATGCAAATTGTTTTTGCTGTTATTGTTAGTTCCGGCTATCTCTCATTGTCAGCTTGTTTTAATCATCTTCATTTTAAATTATTTCTGGCTTTGGCTGCTTATACAGTTTTATGGGAGATTACTACCATTGATCTTTACAATATTTTCCCAAGTTTGGCAACTGATTATTCATTAATGGTACAATAGCAACATTGAGAGATATTGGTAATCTTAATCTTACACAACCAGACAGTTCAAAGAGCCTGGTAGCTGTATTTATGGTATGCCGCCTAGAGACATTTGTACAGTGAGATGGGCAGCATATACAACTTTGGAAAACAAATGAATAAATAAATTTATTCAGATTGGTATCTCTGATTTGATAAATGTGAAAGTGCAGGTAGATATGGCTGGCATCAGCAGAAGATGCCTTGCTCCTCACATCCTAAATGAGAGGGCAGCTTACAATATTAAATATATAGATTTGTATGGATTTGGTACTAACTGTTATAATTTTGCAGTTAGCAAAAGGGCCTCTGGAACATTACAGTAAGGATATTGTTTCAGTTTTTCTACCACAACTATTATTTGGTTGCATGGACTGGTTGTATTAGAAGAGCAGTTACTGGCACAATGGAGTATGCTTGTTTAGCTCAAAACAATTTTGCATTTCTAGTTTTTCATGAGCATGTGAATCATAGAACAAGTGGTGTAATTGCATACATTTCTTTTTAAAATAAATAATTGCAACTTTACTACAGAAAACGCTGTAAGTTTTACTTTCTCTTTCCAACTAGAATCACCCAAAGGTCCTCACCCATCTGCAGGTATGAATGGAAATGTGCCGCACCCCACCACCACTGGGCAGCAGCCGGTCTCTGCCATCCCCTCTCCAAGTGCCAGCAAGCCTTGGCGCAGCAAATCAATGAATGTCAAACACAGTGCCACCTCTACCATGCTGTCTGTGAAGCAGCAAAGCCCTGCAACCTCACCTACACCACCTGCAGACAGGCTTAAGCCACCTCTTTCTGAAGGTCCCAAAACACCTTCATCTGGGCAGAAATCCATGTTAGAGAAATTCAAACTGGTTAATGCTCGGACTGTTTTGCGGCCCCCTCTGTCATCATCAAATTCAGGTCCCACTGAGAGTGGAAGAGATGATGAAGCTTTTTCAGAGTGTGGTGAAATGGATGGCTTCAGTGGTGGGCTCAGTAGTGCTGGATCTACCACAAACAGCCCCAAAATATCACCTAAATTAGCTCCCCCGAAAGCTGGAAGCAAAAATATCAGCAATAAAAAGTCTTTGCTACAGCCAAAGGATAAAGAAGAAAAGAGCAAAGACAAAAGTAAAGTTTGCACTGAAAAGGTGGTAAAAGACGAAAAGGAACAGATTGCTGAGACACCCGCAAAAAAGACCTCAAAAATTGCAAGCCTGATCCCCAAGGGGAACAAAGCAACATCAGCCAAGAAAGAAAGCTTAATTCCTTCATCTAGTGGGATACCAAAACCTGGTTCAAAAGTACCTACATCAAAGCAGAATAGTTCACTAGTATGTTCAGGAAGTAAAGAGACAGAAAAACTGAGGAATGCAAAAGGAAACCAGCCCCCATCTACAGCAAAATCCCAAGGGAATGAGAAAACACACGTTCCTTCTAATCTCCCAGCTTCTGAAGGAAAGGAATCTAGCGCTGCTCTTACTAGTACATCATTTGCGTCTCCTTCAATGGCTGCAGCCAGTGGGCAAGTCCCAGGAAGCAGCGTTGTCCAACTTCCTCAGCAGCAGCAATACAGCCATCCAAATACAGCCACTGTAGCCCCATTTATTTATAGGTAAGTTGGGTTTTCCCTTGTTTTACCCTTTTCATATTCTTCACTATTTAAAAAAAAAAACCATTTGAAGCCTTGGCAAAATATAAAATGGATCACATGGAGACATCATTCTAACAAAATTAGAGAATGATAAGGCAATTAATTAGCACAATGGGATTTGGAGGTTGTCTTGCTGGATTTCTTTTTCTGTTGGTAGATTTCTCAAAAGGCTATGCCATTTTTTTTTTTACCATGACAAGAAAAATCTGTACAATGTTAAGAACTGTAACACTGTATTACCTCTAATATCAGATATATAAACTTGTATTGATTTTACCTTAACTATTATGATTTTAAAGTAACCAAATTTTACTATTAACTGAACTATTTTAGCATTTTGCCTCCATGTGAAAGTGGACTCTGTGCAGTCAAGCTAGCCTTACTCTGCAGCATCACTAGAGTAGATTAAAAATGACATATTTGTATACAGTTAATATTTTTCAGCTCATTAGTGGTTTCTGGATAAACATGGAGAAGGTTTTTTTCAGAGGGAATTTCTGTATTATTGAAGGCCAGTGTTTCCTTGATTTAATGTGAAAACTTTTTCATGATTAGGGACTTCCATCAATTTTGCAACCAGGGATTCAATAACTGACATTTTTTCCCCCAAGATTTGTTTTTGCTGTCATGAGAGGAGGTAGTAATAAATCTACTTTTATAACAAAAATATTATGGATATTTCACAGAATGAGCAGCATTCTGTGCAGCATTCAATTTTTTTGAAATCTCATTATGTATTTAAGTTTCACATGCTTTCTGTCTAAGATTGTATATTTTGAAACTCCATTTTAACTGACAATTTGCCCGTTAAGGTAGAATATCCATTAAAGAGGAAAATACATCACTGCAGCAATTAACATCATTTGAAGTAATGATATCAATTATGTCATCTGCATAATGATGTCATTATGCTAATGCTGCAAATTGGCTCAAATATCAATCACCCATAAGGGTCTGAAGTTCTGGAGAGCTTCACAATGAACACAAACAGAGGTGTCTGTGGGGAGAAACAAGGGAAGCACATGACAAAGCTGTGTCATGCCCTCCCAATGATGGTTGTGCCCCTTTTGTACATGCATTATTATGTTGCATGCATGTTCAAAAGGTGGAAGTTGTATTATGAAGGTGGGACACTGCTTTTGATGAAAGTTTTGATGAAAGTTTTCAATCCTGTGAATGCCTCTGCATACAAAAATAATTTCCTTTTTTACTACAGCATTTCCAGTAGGCTTCATCTCCTAATAAATTATCCTTATTGCAAGTATTGAATACATTTATTAATAAGCATCTTAAAGCATTCTCCTTAAGAACAATGACCCTTGAAAATGAAACTACTTTAGGCATTCTTTTTTCTGAACATCTTCAATCCCTAGAGAAAAAATAGAAAATACAGTCTATATCTTTTTTTTCTGACTAGGTATTCATTTAAAAGGTAAGGTATTAAAAATAAAACAATCCATACAGGACTAAGAGAATGGAATTTCAAGCAATTTAGAGAAAGGCACGGCAAAGGAGAACCCTTCTAATCAAAGAAACTGATAAAAAAGATGATTTTCTGATTCCTGAATTGAGTGCTATAGATAATATGATTTGGGCTACAGCTTTAGTTTAGCAAGTTATACGAATCCAACCATTGCAAAATATGGTTTATGGCATAATATGATACATCATATTTATGGGTCCTTAAAAGAATGCTCAGATATACAGTATATATAAAATATAATAATTATTTAAAATGCACGTTCTTATATCATGATTTGTACTAAGATCAACTAAAGAAATAGCTTAGAATAAAAGCCTGACACAGTTCTAGGATCTTGAGCAATTAAAGAGATAACTTTTTATCTTAGGGTATAAAATAACATGGTCACTCAGAACCATTAAGACAATGCAATTCTACTTGTCTACAGGAATGTGAATTTTTGCCTTGTGCATTCCAAGTGGCTGCTCTCTGTATTACATGGCAAGCTGATTCAAAGTCTGAAATTGTGTAACTCAGTATAACTCCAAATCAGATGTCTACTGTATAACCTATAGAAATAAACTTCAGTAGGCACTTTAACTATCAACAGTCTTTTGTTCTGTGGGAATTACGGACCTGGATGATAGGCTAATAATGCCCTTATTATGGAGGATATTCCAACATCTTCCAGAAGAGAAGAGAGGAAAAAGCTTTATACAGTGGTACCTCGGTTCACGAATTTAATTCGTTCCGCAACTCCGGTCGCGACCCGAATTGGTCGCGACCCGAATCAAATTTTCCCATAAGGTTCAATGTAAATAAGGTTAATCCATTCTGACCCCTCCGAATTTGGTCGCCAACCGATTTTGGTCACGTCCGAATCAAATTTTCCCATAAGGTTCAATGTAAATAAGGTTAATCCATTCTGACCCCTCCGAATTTGGTCGCCAACCGATTTTGGTCACGTCCGAATCAAATTTTCCCATAAGGTTCAATGTAATTACGGTTAATCCATTCTGAACCATATG